CATCAGCTGCATCTGAAAACACTGTCAGGCTTCGATCACTGCTCTTTTGCAATTTATGGTACATGTCATTCCAGGCTGCTATACAATACCTTTGTTTTGCATACCTGTCATCAGGCTCTTCATCTTGAATGGCTTCATCAGCAGTTTGTTTACGTTTTCGCTGGACTTTCGGCACAGCTGGAAGTGGCCCATCAACTTCTTCCAAGCACCTGCACTCATATGATTTTTGGCTTCAAGCTGCCGGAAGTTTCAGTGCACTTGGTCGCTGCCAGACTTGAATCATGGGTCACAGAACCGTCTATGTTTGTTCTTATCAAGTAGTCATTTGAAGATGATAATCAGTCAATGACAAATCAACGCAGAAAAACAATTCCAAAGACAAGTAGCGGATTCGCGTCGAACAGCTCCTTGGTGGATGCTGCCCTGTCCGCTGTGTCATAATCCACGAACCAGCAGCTAACCGCCTGTCACAGTTCAGGCAAAATTGAACTTCAATGGCGTAACATTGCAGGGCATCACATTGTGGGGCTCGCCTTGCCAGATCCTGCTTGGCGCACTTGACGCGGCAGGATGCCACTTGCTCTCACCACAATGGCTTTGATGTCGTCCTCAGTCCTGAGTTTACAGTCTAGTTCAATTGAGTAGATGAATCCAAAATGAATCTAGAGGAATCTTCATTGTCTATGTGCAGGCAAGGAGCGACCAGCCTGGGCAATTGCCAATCCACAGGCGATCGCTCCAGCTAAGCTTGTGCTTGTCTACTGGCGCAACCAAATCCTCTGGCGCAGTGCCATCTTCCAACGCAGCATGCAGGCACAGCGGAAACCTAGACAGGCAGTCAGTCAGTCATCAATCAGAACAAAAGTGCAACCAGACAAGCAAAAGCAACCAGACAAGCAAACAGATTGCAAGAGTTGCCATAAACTAGCTCGAACACTGCATGTATAATACTGGGTTTTGGGCATCTTCTTCGCCACGACCCTGCGAGCAAAGTCGGTGAAAAAGGTGATTTTCCACAGGCTGGCCTCTGTGGAGCCTAAGGCATGGGCAAGCCAGGGGCACACACTGGGCACATACTGAGCTGTGACATGGTTTCTTTATCTGAAATGCAGCTGTGGCACTCCCTGCGTCCAGCAACTCCACATTCCCTCCACCCGCCCAGCAGCAAGTAGGAAGCATATTGTGCGCTCTTCCCTCATTTTGGACCACAATTGAAAACCACAAGTCTGTCTCTTCTCGTCCTGACTTCATTCACCATCAACCAACAACTCATTCAATCAACCATCAGTCAGTCAGTCAATCGGTCAGCCATTCAATCAGTCAGTCAGTCAGCCAGCCAGCCAGCCAGTCAGTCAGTCAGTCAGTGAGCCAGACTAGTGAATCACAGCCAGCAGCCAGGCAGGCAGGCAGGCAGGCAGGAAGCAGCCAGTCAGTCAGTCAGTCAGTCAGTCAGGCGTCTATGCAACTTACAAGAAAGAGCTACGCTACCCAGTCTACAAGCAGTGAGAGCCATAAAGGAAACAAATGCAAACAAGCAGCCGGCCCCGCAACATCTCTGGCACGCAAACATGTGCCTCCAAGGGCGACAAAGGAGGCTGCATGGCCGTGGCTGTGGCCGTCTGTGGCGTGTCCGTGCCAGCCATCTGTCTTGGCTGTCAGCCACGCCCACCCAAAATGCTGAGCCAAAATGCATTTTTTCGCAAGAAGAAGGAAGGTCTTGGACATGCCAGCGCACTCAAGATGTGTACGTGCATAGCTGTCACACACACACAGAATCACAACTGATGCTGGCCTTCACGTTCCTGCAGCAAATGGTGGGCAGTCCCACCTAGGCCCAAACTTCAAACAGTGACAGCAGCACTGTCCAAAAACAAGAAACATACAGCTGTTCAGTGCTGTTCAGACACATTGCACTCAGACTAAAAATGCTCAGACATACAGCAGCCAGTAAAGCGCAGAAATTGAGACTCAGGTTGCTGGCCTGAAGCGTTGCTGAGCATCAGCCTCATTGTAGCATCCATTTTGGGGTAGCATTTTGGTTTAGATAAACTTTGCAACTCCAATCAAGGGGCACTCTTCAGGGCTTGAGCAGCTCAACGTTTGGTTGTCTTCTTTGTAAATGTCAATCTCATTCCTTGAGCTAAACAAAAGTAAGACTTCAACATAGTCAAAACAGCCCAGCATACAACCACATGTCTGGCGGTTCTGTATGCTTGGCTAGAGTCAAGCCAGCTTCGCGCAGCTCCTTCTTGAGGTCTTCCATCAGCTGCTTCTTGATGTGGAAGGTGTAAAACCGCGTATCACAGAAACCTGCAGCAATCAATCAATGGCGGCTAGGAAAACAAGACAGTCAACAGTCAAACAATCAACAGTCAGTCAAAACATCAAAGTCAAAGCAGTCAGTCAGTCAGTCGGTCAGGCAGCGCAACACGATCCAGAACATGACAACAATCTGAACAGCACTTGCACCTTGGCAATAGTCCCATGAAACTGGCCTCAACAGCTTCACCACCATGTCAAGCTGATGCCTCATTTTGATGTTGCTTGCATGCAGCCGATGTACTGTAAAGCGCCAGTTTCACTAGTTGCAGCCCAGGCGCTCAACATGAATTGGGATTGCAACCAACACCTCCATCCCTGAACAAAAGACTTAGCTGCGTGGCCAGGCGTTGTGGTGTGAACCTGGATAACTTGTGTCCCAGTCTGATGTCATGGATTGGCGCTTTTGCCAAACAGCCCAAAGGGCCAATCCAAAAGGACACATAAGCAGAACCTGAGAAAAGAAAGAACACCATATAGAAAAAACATATTTAGATTAACATTTTTGAATATATTTGATAAATAACTAGACAACGGTTGGCCCGAGAGCGACAAAGGCGATTGTCAAGCAATTCCGGGTAAGGAAATAGTAAAGATCGAGTTGTCCAAGAGCCATGACTTCTTGAGACAATCTGTTATTTAGTAAGAAGTTGCGAAGAAATTAGATTTAAAATATTACAGTAAGCGAAAAGATATGTAGAAAGAGAGAAAGAGAGGGCGGATGTGAAGGAGTGACAGTGTGGATGTGCAGGTGTGATATAGATGTGCAAATGTATGGGAGTGCGGAGGTAAGAGATCTAGAGGTAGATCTGCGGATGTGAGCGTGTGAAGATGTAAATGTATAGAGGTGAGGATGTGTAGACGTAGATGCGCAGATGCAACAGCAACGCAACGTTGTGGGTCAGGAACGCCATTTCTCGCTGTGCAAGCCCAACGCTGAAGAGGTTCGAATCAAATTGATATAAAGCATGCCAGCGACACGCCGCAATTACACCAACGTATTTCGCGCTCCCCAGTGGCACGGCGCCACGCAAACGCACTTTCCACCAAGGCCGCGCAAATCCGCATGGCACTGCGACATCACGGACGTAATTCGCCACACGGTCTGCCCACACACTGGAAGCAATCCTATCACACGATACCGCCAATCATCCCACTCACCAGCGACACGCCGCGTTTACACCAGTATATTTCGCGCTCCCCAATGGCACGGCGCCACGCAAACGCACTTCCCACCAAGGCCGCGCAAATCCGCATGGCACTGCGACATCACGGACGTAATTTCGCCACACGGTCTGCCCACACATATCTCACTAAAAACAAACACATCGGAGTCCAGCTCCGCAACGCTCTTTCCCGTACTACATTTGTCCTACAAATTGGCCACTTCTGAGTCCAGGTCCAAAAAGCTCTTTCCCGTACTACATTTGGCCAGGTCTGAGTCCAACTCCGAAAAGCTTTTTCCCGTACTAAATTTATATTGCAAATTGACTTCTAAGTCCAACTCCCAAAAGCTCTTTCCCGCACTACATTTGCGCTACAAACTAACCAGGTCTAAGTCCAGCTCCACAAGTGAAGCGCCAAGTCTCCAAAATGAGCGTTTTGTACAAGACTTCCTCCAAAAGTGAAGCGCCAAGTCTCCAAAACCAGCGTTTCGTACGAAACTTCCTCCAAAAGTGAAGCCCAAAGTCTCCAAAACGAGCGAAACACTCCAGCCGCTCCACCAAAAGCTCTTTTTCCTCTTCGCATTCACTCGAGATCTTTCATTAGATCAAGGAACTTTGCGCAAACCCGTTCTGTTATTAATATCCACATCTAACACCCATGCGTATCCGTATGCCCTGTGGACCTACAACAAAAGTTTCTCACCCGTAGAGTCGACACCCAAAGCATTCTGCCGGGTGGGTAGGTGGGTAGGTGGGTAGGCAAACAAAAAGGAGGGTAGCTGCTGGTGGGCTTCAAGCCAAAATGGCCACATTTTAGTTGTGCTACTAGACCATTCACTATTATATATATATATCATATAATCAATAAAAACAATTAATATATTCTTAAAATATTTCATAATTTTCCAAATAAATATTCCAAAATATTACAATTGTAATTCTATCAATTTAATTGCCCAAATATTTATCGATTTAAAACTCTTATATTTTAACTATTACAATAATTAAGCAATTAATAAATATAATCTTTCTAAATATATTTATTCCAAAAATACAATCATTTTTATTAAATAGAAATCAAAAACGAATTCTCTTAAAAATATATATATATATCGAATAAGAATTGACTATTTATTAAAAAATACATTTTAAAAAATAGAATCTCTATGTAATAATACATCATTTTCAAAAAACATTGATATACTTATTTACATAATGTAAAAAGTAAAAATTTCAGTATCTTATACATATATATTTATAATTTGTTGATGTTGTTGATGTTGTTGGGAATAATATATTTAATACTTTTCAATAGCATTCAGGACGTCTATATTTTAGTATTTTTCAATTTTTGTTGTTAGTTATTATCGAATAATGGATCAATGAGTGAAACGTCGTTAGCTTGCGATCGTATTGAACGCGATTATTGTATCAAATTCAATTGCAATTGTTTGGTAATGCATGCATTTCTGCTGTCCAAAATCTGGCGCTGCAGGTGGCCCACAAATTGCGAGCTCAAAAAACTGACCTGGCAGATGCACAACAAGGAAAAACAAACAATTCATCCTTTTGTTCTGCTGCCCATGCCTTCCTCAAAACAAACATTCCTCAGCAAACGAAAGCAGAATCATGACGGGTGAGCTGCGCGCGCTGTAATTTCCTGACCTGGCCCCCCACACACATACACGAAACTAGTCACGAGCATCTGTACGCCCTCCGTGATGCACATAAAGTAGTTCTTTGGCACAAGCAACAAACACTTGCAGCACTGTCCACGATAACACTTGCGGGCGGCAATCTGTGCTTTGCTGACCAGCCTCCTTGTTCATCTGCTGTCTTCGTGGTTGCTTGGAGGCGTTTCGTCTCTCAGGGCCCAAATGCAGCTTCTGCACCTGCCAGCTGCAAAGCCATCAGCCCAAGCAGCCAAAGCAGCGCATGAAGTTGCCATCGACTAGTCACTAGTCGCCTCAGGAGCCTGACGTGGTCTCAAATACGACGGCAGCCGGCCGGGGCCATCTGGCCGACCCTTTAATGCCTTTGCTTCTGCATCCTCCTCAGTGGAACGTTCCATCACTTGATCCGCGCGTACTTGCTGAAAGACATCTACTGTAATTCTAAGAGACCAGCCACAGGAGCATTCCAGACATCTGGGTGGCCTAAAGCAGTCAGGCTTATGTTACGTTTGCCTGTAGCCAAGCGGCTTGGCTATAGGCAAACGTAACATAATTCTCTGCGGTAAATGTTCAAAGGCTCGAGGAACTCGTCTCTTTGCCTTTACAACATAGCATGACACCTGGCCTGCGTTGCTTCGAGTCTCTCGCTTCCCGTCCAGGCGCGCGGCCTCCCCAGCTCCTGCTGACAGCAAATCTCAACGTATTGCTAGCAACTAGCGTGAGGCAGGGTTCGTCGCAGGGTTCGTGCTTGTGTTGCCATTTTTGGTGGACCTTCAGTTCACGTAAAGTTGTCCCATGGTCGTTCAATGTCGTTACGTAGTTCTTGTTTCCAGGCGCTGGGTCGTGGCTGTTTTGCGGCGCTCTCGGAGCCTCAGTTGTGGCCATTCTCAGACTTGGTGGCTCGTTGGTCACTTTCTTGTGGCCAACGCAAGGGAAACCTCGTGCATTGGTCTATGGGCTAGCGGAATTGTAGTCACAGGGATTCTTTTGAACTGTTTTGTTTTAAGCAGGGGGGCAATCCCACTTTGCAGCTGATTGCCCAACGAAGAGGGCTGCAAGTGTGGCTGATATCCGGAAGGGACGCCTTCTGGACGTACCTGCTTGACCTGGTTTTTCAGGATTTGGGTTTCTTAGGCTGGCGTGTGGCACCGCTGTCGAGTCAGTACGCATATCCATAAGTGTGTGTGTGTGCTCTCGTGTGTCCTTGGTCCACTCCACATAACTCTGTAGCAAGGTCTGACAACTTGAAATAAAGGACAGTGCTGGAGGTTCTTAACACGTCATCCGCCTGCGTCAGCGTGCCTCCAAAGCCTTGAGGCGAGCACGACATTGCTAGCCAAGCAAAGACCTAGTTGTTCCCTATCACTATTGCAGGACCCACACATTCAGCGCATTCCAAAGCCAGTCTGATCTCAAGGCACTGGCGACAACAAGCAAGCCCTATCAGACCCAATGCCGTCTTGATGGTTTCACGGGTTCGAGGCATCATGCGCTTTTGATTTTGCTTCTCCACGTCCTAAAAACCTGCTTCCAAACATCAAAAGGAGGGGCAAGAGTTAAAAGATGGGAGGACCAAGGGGGTGAATGCAAACATGCAGGATGTATGGCAAAGGGTGCAGCAAGTGGAATATATAACCACACCGGTCCGGACAGGAAAACGCAAACACTGGTAGCCTTGAAGCACCTGGAAGAAGCGCATGAGTGCTTTGGCGTCGCTATCAACAATGCCTTCACCTCATTCTGGCCTTCCAGGAAAAAATAATGCTCTGTTGAGTTGGTTGCAGCAGATCGCAGCTAGGGCCAGGGTCATCAAGAGTTGGCAGCAGGCGCGAATCCAGACATATCGCAACTGTTGTGTAAGTATGTGTAAGTTATGTGTCTTCATTGCCCCCTTTGCCAGACACGTTCTGTGAGTGACTTCCTGCATCTTACACTTCACATATCTCTGGCAAGGGTTCAATGGTGCACCAAACACAGCGATGAAAGGAAAATTTAGGATCTTAAACTTGAGCGATACTAAGACCACTATCGATCTGCAGTGAAACGTGCACTCATGCGACACCAATGCTGTACATGTAAGTGACCAACATCTGACCATGCCTCGCGAGCGAAGCTTCGGGGGACGTTTGAGCGAGTCAGTGCCGGCAGCGTACCCGTAGCTAGCGCCACTCTCGGCACATCTTGCACAGATCAAGCCATCTATGCTCGCATGTTCTCCTCATCCACAACTGTGGAAATTCCTGTTTCGCGTTGCCACGTTCGTTTTCTCCTCAGCGACTGGTGTTGAAAAGATATCCGCAAGCATTCGATCTGCACTCTGTTCCTTTCGAAATGCAAGGTGTTGGGCCGAATGACTTTGAGCGTCAAAGCTTAATTTAGGTCTTACATGGTCTTACTATATGTAACAATGTAACGTTTGCTTCCCACACTGATGCCTGCATACGCATCCACAGCCACTTCCCTGCGGGATAAAGACCCTTTGTTGAAGCAACTTTGGCAACAAAACGGGGACTAACGGACTAAGCCAAAATGCTCAGATTCGTGCTCTTTGGCAACATACACTGGAGCCTCCTGAAACAATATCGCGCGGTCGCTTAAACACCTTTTGACAAGATTGCCATGTAGCTTAGTTTGGGATCGGGGTGACTGCTTGCCGCGAGGTCCATAGCGAACATATCGTGCCAATCGCTTTGACATACTTGTTGCCTTGAGGTTGCACTTTGCAGTCGTTGGGCGAGTGAGCGGGTTGCTGTCTGTAGGTCAGTTCAGTCAGAACCAAGTAAGCAGCCCACATTGCCATCAAACGGCACACGCTTGCATCTTCTGCGCTTTAACTTTCTCGCGCAACGGTTCTTCTTGAGTGGGCTTGGCCAACGGTGTCTTGACGTTCCCTTAAGCTCTTAAGGCTCCATATTCTTCGGATGCCGGCCCAGGTTTGAACGAAAGCCGGAGAACAAAAACGCTGCAAAGACGGCTGCAGTGACACGTAGTACATGCTGTACATGCAAGTGGCCCAACATGTGGTCAACTGGAAAAACTAATCAAACTGCCAACGGTAAATGGAATGCATGTCACAAACAGGCATCAAATGAAGCAGGTCAAGAGTGGTAGGGCTATGGGACTACTCCTTCAATGCAGGGTAGCCGGTCACTTCTGTCACTCGGCAACTGGTAGCCATCAGACTTCCCATGGCTTGCCACCTCGGCTTCAAGCAGCCTCAGCCAAGAGGGTCTTTGAAACTGCCACACGTGTTCAAGAGACTTAGGGGTGCAGGACACTTTTGCACAAATGTACTTCAGACCATCAGAAGTCGCGCCTGCAATGCCCAATGCACTCAACCGAGACAGAAACCAATGAAGCCGAAGCCATTGAAATGGTCCAAATGCCATTGAACCGTATATCATTGTGTAGCTAGCTGGTAGCTGTCAGTTGTGAAGGCTTGCAGTTGGCAGCGACGCGTCGCTCAGAGAAGTTTTGAAACTTGTGTTCGACGATCGCTCATAAGATGGTGACATCAGAAGCTTGGGACTAATTAATTTGGATATAGGAGCACATAAACTGAAAACAGAACCTACTAGAACCCGTTGATTTTCTGATCTGTAGATAGCATTGTCCCGGAAACTCTGAGGCCCCATACTGTATCAGCCCCCTATATCAAGCCGAGGAGCTGCAGTGTACTTAAGGGCACTCTGTCCTTTGGATTGGCACCGCGCATCAATTTGGTTGCCGAATGGTTGTACTGGTCAACATCCCTGGACTGAGGGGAGCTGGCTTGTTTTGAATCGTCATTTTCATCTTGGCTGCTTGAATAAGGGCTCCAAGCATATGGTGGGCCTGAAGCCCTTAATTCCACGCTCTCGTCCTCCAAGTCCAGGAAGCTCCCAGTGAGAGCTGCCCTCAAAACCGCAGAGGCCGAGAGTATGTCATCGTCTTCTTCCCGTCTTGGCGATGGAAGCGACAGCTCGCTTAGTGAGCTAATTGGTCGACGAAGGTCTTGGATCTCACTTTCACTTTGACAGATCTCAGTGGACCTTGGTTTTGGCCTTGACTTGCTGAGCGGCTTGCTTGGTCTAGATCTCGCCCGTTTTGCCCATCTGTCCTTGCGACGTCGCTCACGCTCATCCCTTGAGTGCTTAGTTGCTGGTTGCAAGTGTTGTAAGGCAGGCAAAAGGCATGGGCCAGCGTGCCCTTGTCCCGCATGCCGTCCCAAACAATTGAGGCTGCTGTTTAAACCAACCCACTTGCTCTCAGCAGGCAACTCAAAACTCTGCTGCAAGCACAGGGCATCAGAACCACAAGAGCCTGCGCACCGATGTGGGCGGACATTCTGGCTCATTGGCAGAAAACCACGGGGTTCATGCTCTTTTCCTACCCCTCCATTTCAGGGGAGGGCTACGACGTCTTGAGCATGACAAACAACAACAGGCATATGATGTGCATATTGAAATCGCACCTAGTGAGCCCACATGAAACCGCCGACACGCTGGATTCGAGGACGAGAGAACGACATTTTTTCCAGCCAGCTCAGCTGCAAGCTTTGTTTCCACCTCAGTCGGAGGCCGGTCTGAAGCGGTCAAATGGGTTTCCCCAATTAGTTGCTTTGCACCGTGAAAAGGTGTCTGCTCACTAGGTTCCTTTCCTCCATTCCCAGCTCAAATGCCAGCTGCAGACTGGCTTCCTGTCCGGCCAGTCCTCAGATCAGAGTTGCTGGTGCGCACATGGATTTGACCGTTTCCCAGTCCTTGTTGTTCGCAGTATGTCCTGAGAGGTCAGCATGTACGGTGGCAAGCGTCAAGCGTTCAAAGTAGGTCTATCTGTCTGAGACTGAGATGACTGCAGCAAGGGACTACAACTCGAGAAGCACGTTTGTAGCCTCCTGCCGTTCCAAAGAGGTTATCAAATCGGAACACGTGCCCTATTGAAAATGTCTTAGGTTGCTGTAATTGTCTGCAGTACCCTTCTTCGACTTCAGCTGTTCCTGACACTGAGCTGCTCAAGCAGTTGCAAAGCAACTGGCCATTGCCCCTCTTCAGCAAGGACAAGCCTGAACCAACTGACTGTCTCCAGCTCATCATGAAGGGCAGCGGCAAGGTTTTGAGAAGGTGGCAAAGCTGCTGCAACACCTGGCCGACATTCCTGGGTGCCATGTTGCACCATGCCAGTTCCAAACAGCCCAGCGACATGCAAAACAAGAATTTGCTGAGTAGGCAGCCTCTGAGTCCAAGCCTTGCACTGCGCAGCATGCAAGCAATCCAGGGACATCCACGAAACTTTGAGCGTTAAAGCTTGGATGGTATTTCAATATGCCGCGATACGGGTTGAATAGTTGTGTTGACCATATTGGTAGGTCACGAATGATCCGCGTCCTGTCAGTGGAAGGGATGTGAGGAGTTCCACTGGATGCCGCCAAGTCCTGATATCCAGCAACACCAACCACAACCGCTACTCAGCTCCTCGCATGGCCTCCCGCTGCCGAACATGCTCACTGCCTTGCACCCAGACGTTCAAAGGAAGGCTACTTCTGAAACATTCTGCAACTACTGAGTCGCACTTACACCATGTGATACCATATGTCTTGCTTCCCAGGCGCTGCATTCAAGAGAGGCCATGTTTGACACCAGACATGTCGTGAATGAAGCGATTTTGCTGACCTCAGCTGGAGCAAGTTGCAGGGCGTTGCAGCCTTCCCGAGCCTTGCTGTCTAAGTGATTAAGTGTTTGCGCATTGCTGCGCGCAGGCTGACAAGCGTCAAGATCTGTAGGCCAAATTCCCATTGTGCCTCTGATTCAGAATTCACCAGGTTCAAGACCCCCAAAAAAGAGGTGGCAAACCCCAAAACTTTGATCTCACACATTGGGCAGGTTGGTTTCGACCAGGTCAAAAGAGCTTCTGATCATGCAAGTCAACCCGTGCAAGCAACAAAAACCAAGCTAGCCATGCATGAGAAACGTCAGGAGCACCACAAACTGCCCACAGGATAACATCTCAGCCTGCCTCTTCACATGCTGAAATTGCAGAGGTGCCAGTGAAACTATCAGCCTCGGTCAAAGTTGCCCAGGAGGTGGGAAGCAACCCATTCCTGCTTTCCAGTATTCAATTCCCAACTTCCAGGATCACTTGACTTGCCTAGCCTCCAGCTTCAGCAATGCTAAAGATTGCAGAGTTTCGATGGCTAGTGTCCACTTCCGACCTGACAGCCAACGGAAGGGCTAGGAATTTGTACCAGTTGCTGGCCTCTTGCATGCGCAGTAATGGCTGCGTTAGTTGCCTCAGTTTCTGCCCCTCTAATTGCAACATCAATGTGAGTACAATTCAATTTGGAGCCACACCACCAGCACCCGCGCTGGAGCCAAATACATGCACCCTGGAAATCAATTGGTTGTTGACTTCTGGCATTTATCTTGCACTACCCAGTCGCTGGGCCTAATGCGAGCCGCCACTGCCTGCCATCAGACAGAGCTGACGCAGCCTGGTCGACATAAGTTTCATAAGAACTCGACAATCCGAAAGCTCAGCTGTCGCACCGCCGCGTGTGAAGCCACAGTTTCGAGCCCAAAGGCCTGCCAGGCTAGGTGCTAAAGCGAAACAAATCGGGAAGAAAAGAAGAACACTGATAAATCCGCCCGCACCGAAGGTGCCGAGGCGTTTTTATAGGGCACGCGCTATACGTAAGCTAGCATATGCAAGCCAATAGCTTTAGCTAGGGGAGGGGCATTTTCGCTCTAGAATCCTGTGCTTTTTCACGTTTTTGGAACCGGCTTAAAATGCTGGAAGATGAATTCGTGCTATTTTGAAGCCCCTGGTGATGCAAGAAATGCCATTTTCTTCCTTTGCATGATTTGAATCATCTGCGCGGTAAAGTGTAATTGGACTGAGGCCGGACATTTAGCTGAACAGGCTCCCGTAACGTGGCTCAATATAGCTTCCATATTGCCTAACATAGCCCTAGAAGTCACTATTTAACGGACGTGTCTGCGAGATAGGGACTTGAACGCAAAACATGGCCCAACGAGGGCTCCAAAGGGACTGGAATAAAGTAAAGAGATTGCCTAACATAGCCCTAGAAGTCACTATCTAAAGGACGTGTCTGCGAGATAGGGACTTGAACGTCGTAAACATAACCCAACGAGGGCTCAAAAGGGACTGGA